GCTGAAATTAAATCATCCTGTAGGTTTGTAGGCACAGGATTCTCAAGCACCCCCCAGGACCCCCAGTACACTTCCAAACTAATAGAAAAAACTTGACCCTTTAAATATGATCAAAATTGTACTCATATAAAGTGAGTGTGTGTTTATATACAGCAATGTATTTATCGCAAGGCTAACAAGGAATTTGCCCTGTCACCATTTTCCGTGAGGGGGCAAAAACACCATCCCCCGCCATACACCTCGGCACCCCTAAGGGCCCAAAAGCTGACTGGCCACCTTGGGGCTCCCTCGAGGTAGGCGGCCATGAGTTTTGCACCTGGGCAGGGTGAGGGATCGCTGATCTCTGAGCTCTTTTTTCTCTGCTCCCTCTCGGGGCCTTCTATAATGCCAGGAGCCGAAATATGACGTCACTCCGGGACCGGCATTACTAAGCAGAGCAAGCCAGCAGCAGCCATGCTGGACCACAGGGAAAGAATCCACTCCAGGTCTCCAGGTAGGCTGGGTGGATTTAAATTAAAAATAAACCAGTTTTGAGTTGATGAGAAAATGTGTGTGCCTATGAGTGTGTGACTTTCAGTGAATGTGTGTGCATCTGTCAGTGAGTGTATGTGTCTGTCAGTGAGTGTGTGTGTCTGTCAGTGTGTCTGTCTGTCTGTCAGTGAATGTGTGTGTCTGTCAGTGAATGTATGTGCCTGTCTGTCAGTGAGTGTGTGTGTTTGTCTGTCAGTGATTGCGTGTGTCTGTCAGTGAGTGTGTGTGTCTGGCTTTCAGTGAACGTGTCTGTCTATCAATGAACGTGTGTGTCTGTCAGTGTGTGTCTGTCTGTCAGTGTGTGTCTATAAGTCAGTGAATGTGTGTGCCTGTCAGTAAGTGTGTCTGTCTGTCAGTCAGTGAGTTTGTGTGTCTGTCAGTGTGTGTGTATGTGTGTCTGTCTGCTAGTGATTGTGTGTGTCTGGCAGTGTGTGTCTGTCTGTCAGTAAGTGTGTGCATCTAAGTGAGTGTATCAAATCAGTGAGGATTTTTGTGTCTGTGAGTGGGTGTATATCACTGTATGTGTATCTGAGAGTGTGTGCCTGTCATGGACTGGGTGTGTCTGTCAGTGAAAGTGTGTGTTGGTTAAATTAAACAGTGTGTGCACCAATGACTGTGTATTAGTCACTGAGTGTATGTCAGTGTAAGTATCCGTGAGGGCATGTGTCTAAGTCAGTCAAAGTGCATGTTGGTCTTAAACAGGGGTGGGGCAAATTTAGATTAGGGGTGTCTGAGTTAAGTCTGGCCTAGGGCAGCACAAATCCAAAATACACCACTGAGTATGTATTTATGGGTGTATCTGTGTGCATGTATAGTAGGGTGTGTAAAAGTGTTAGTGTGTGTATTTGTATATGTGTGTGTTAGTGCAGGGCCGGTGCAAGGATTTTTGCCGCCCTAGGCAAAAGAAGGATTTGCCGCCCCCGGAACATCGCAATGCCCCACCCATAGAACTAATGCCAGTGCTGCACACAGTGTGTGTTTACATTAAAAAGCCTGCAGGGACAAACTATAGACACCAGAACAACTTTATTAAGCTGCAGTGGTTCTGGTGACTATTGTGTCCATTTAATGTGAGGTAAATTAGAGATTAGTGTCACTAATAATATACTAGATTGCCTACTTACAACCAGATGAGGATGGTGATGGGCTCTGGCTCCACTGGTCTGGTGTAGAACAGGATCTCTGGAGGCTGTTTGTAACTGTGGTCACAAAATTCAATGTTCTGGGAGAACGGGAAGCAGCTCCATTTTTTGGGGCCTCTTACATAGCTCAAGGTCTGGGCCCCAGGGCCTGACGGTGAGTATGCCCATAAAGCCCACCCATAAGTCCACCTACATGTTCCACCCATGAGTTCGCTCACAGGGAGTGGAGTGTGTAGGGGATGTGTTATGTGTTACTGTAGAGGATCTAATGTGTGTGCTTACGTAATGTAGTGTATAGGGATACCAGTTTGTGTAGGTGATGCAGTGTGTTTGTGTGTAGTGGAAGCAGTGTGTGTGTGTTTGTGTATAAGGGATGTATTGTGTGTTTCTTGTTGTGTGTAAGGGATGCATTGTGTGAATCTGTGTTTGTATGCATAAGGGATGCAAAGTGTGTTTCTGTGTATGTAAGGGATGCAGTGTGTGTCTGTAAGGGGTGCGTTGAGTGTGTGTAAGAGATGAATTGTGTTTCTGTGTGTGTAAGAGAAGCAGTGTGTGTTTGCATGTGTGTGTAAGGAATGCATTGTGTGTTTCTGTGTATATGTGCAAATGATGCATTGTCTTTATGTGTAAGGGTTGCATTGTGTGTTTTTCTGTGTGTAGAAAAGCATGTTGTGTTTCTGTGTGTATAGGGATGCATTGTGTGTGTGTGTGTGTGTGTGCGTGGTGTGAAAGAGCTCCCTGTCCCCCTGTCCTATAGAGCTCTCCCTTCCATTCCTTAGAGATCTCCCCTGCCCCTTAGTGGTCTCTCCTTTCCCCCCCACCTCCCTTAGTGGTCTCCTTTTCTCCCCGACTTTCCATTAGTGGTCTCTCCTCTCCCCCCACCCTTCCCTAGTGGTCTATCCTCCACCCCCCTCCCTTAGCGGTCTCTCCTCACACCCCTCCCCTAGTGGTCTCTCCACCGCCCCCTCCCTCCTTTAGTGGTCTCTCCCTCCCCTACGTTCTCATCTCCCACCCCTTGTGTTCTCCTCTTATTCCCCCCCTCCCTGTGTTTTCCTCTTATTCCCCCCTCCCTGTGTTCTCCTCTTCTTCTCCTCCCTGTAATCTTCTCTTCTTCTCCCCCCTTCCCTCCCTGTAATCGCTGCTTCTCCCCCCGTAATCTTCTCTTCTTCTCCCCCCATAATCTTCTCTTCTTCTCCCCCCCAATCTTCTCCCCCCTCCCATCAATCATCTCCCCCCCACTTCCCTCCCATCAATCATCTCCCCCCCTCCTTCCCTCCCATCAATCATCTCCCCCCTCCCTCTCTCTTATCAAATCTCCCTCCCCTCAATCATCTCCCATCCATCATCCCCCTCCTCCCTCATCAATCTCCCCCTCCTCCTCCATCAATCATCTCCCCCCCTCCCATCAGTCTCCCCCTCCTCCTTCAATCATCTCCCCTCCCTCTCTCTTATCAAATCATCTCCCTCCCCTCAATCTTCTCCCCATCCATCATCCCCCTCCTCCCTCCATCAATCATCTCCCCCCTCCCTCCATCAATCATCTCCCCCCCTCCATCAATCATCTCCCCCCCCTCCATCAATCATCTCCCCCCCTCCCTCCCATCAATCATCCCCTCCCATCAATCATCCCCCCCTCCCATAAATCATCTCCCCCTCCCTCCCCATCCAATCATCTCCCCCCCCTCCCATCAATCATCTCCCCCTCCTCCCCATCAATCTCTCCCCCCCTCCCTCCCATCAATCATTCCCCTCCTCCCATCAATCCTTCCTCCCCCCTCCCTCCCCATCGTCTCCCCCCCTCCTCCCCATCAATCATCTCCCCCCCCTCCCATCAGCTTCTCCTCACCTCACCTCCCCTTCCCTGCTGTAGCGTGGCCGAGCTCCTTTCCGGTCCCGCGACCCGGCGGGACTGACAGGAAGTGCACACTGAGTGTGCACTTCCTTTGAGTCCCGCCGGGTCGCGGGACCGGAAAGGAGCTCGGCCATGCTACAGGGCAGGGGAGGTGAGGCACTGCGGCAGCCGCCTGAGCGCTCTGGAGAGCGCTCAGGCGGGTGCAGAATTTATAGGGCCGGCGATGGGGGCGCAGGGCGCCCCCTCCTATATGGCGCCCTAGGCGGCTGCCTAGTTCGCCTTATAGGAAGCGCCGGCCCTGTGTTAGTGTGTTCAGAAGTGTTCATTTATAATAGAGTGGGTAGCAGCATGTGTAGTAGTTTGTGTATCTGTTTGTCTGTGTAATAGTGTGGGTAGTATCAGCGGTGTGTGTGGACAATGTGGATAGCAGTATGTGTGTGCAACAGTGTGTTAGTGTAGGCAGCATTATCCATAGCATTATGGCAGCAGTGTGGGTAGCAGTCTCTCTGTGTGTTTCTCTCATTTCTGAGTTTTCCATTCTGGCCCAAGTCCTCTTTCACTGTGTTTAGTCCATGAACAGATCACTGTGTTCAGTGTCAGGGGGCAGAGCCATGCACACATACCTGTGTTCAATCAGGGTGGGCGGGGCAATGAACAGATCACTGTGTTCAGTCTGAGGGGGCGGAGCCATACAAAGATCCCTGTGTTCAATCTGGATGGGCGGGGCCATGCACAGATCACTGTGTTCAATCTGGGTGGGCGGGGCCATGAACAGATCACTGTGTTCAATCAGGGTGGGCGGAGCCATACACCGATCACTGTGTTCAATCTGGGTGGGCGGGGCTATGCACAGATCACTGTGTTCAATCTGGGTGGGCGGGGCCATGAACAGATCACTGTGTTCAATCAGGGTGGGTGGGGCCATGCACAGATCACTGTGTTCAGTCTAAGGGGGCGGAGCCGAACACAGATCCCTGTGTTCAATCTGGATGGGCGGGGCCATGAACAGATCACTGTGTTCAGTCTGAGGGGGCGAGGCCATGCACAGATCACTGTGTCCATTCTGAGGGGGCGGGGCCATGAACAGATCACTGTGTTCAATCAGGGTGGGTGGGGCCATGCACAGATCACTTTGTTCAGTCTGAGGGGGCGGGGCCATGCACAGATCACTTTGTTCAGCCTGAGGGGGCAGGGCCATGAACAGATCACTGTGTTCAATCAGGGTGGGGCCATGAACAGATCACTGTGTTCAGTCAGGGTGTCGGGGCCATGAACAGATCACTGTGTTCAGTCAGGGGGAGGCGGGGCCATGAACAGATCACTGTGTTCAATCAGGGTGGGGGCCATGAACAGATCACTGTGTTCAATCAGGGTGTCCATGCACAGATCACTGTGTCAGTCTGAGGCGGGGCCATGAACAGATCACTGTGTTCAGTCAGGGTGTGCGGGGCCATGAACAGATCACTGTGTTCAGTCTAAGGGAGCGGGGCCATGAACAGATCACTGTGTTCAATCAGGGTGGGCGGGGCTATGCACAGATCACTTTGTTCAGTCTGAGGGGGCGGGGCCATGCACAGATCACTGTGTCCAGTCTGAGGGTGCGGGGCCATGAACAGATCACTGTGTTCAATCAGGGTGGGTGGGGCCATGCACAGATCACTTTGTTCAGTCTGAGGGGGCGGGGCCATACACAAATCACTGTATTCAGTCTGAGGGGGCGGGGCCATGAACAGATCACTGTGTTCAATCAGGGTGGGCGGGGCCATGAACAGATCACTGTGTTCGATCAGGGTGTGCGGGGCCATGAACAGATCACTGTGTTCAATCAGGGTGGGCGGGGCCATGAACAGATTACTGTGTTCAAGCAGGGTGGGCGGGGCCATGCACAGATCACTGTATTCAGTCTGAGGGAGCGGGTCCGTGCAGAGATCAAGCTCCTCAGACCGAATACAGCGATCCCAGAGCCCTGCAACCTTAGTCCGCATGCAGCAAGCACTGAGCAGGAGGTAGGGATGTGGCTCTTCTTAGGCAGAATAGGCGCCCCCTACAGGCATGTGCTTATAGGCAAGTGTCTGCTCTGCTTAATGGGAAATACAGAGGGCTCAAATTGTGTCAATCTCTTTAAATCTGGCATATCTGGGATGTTTGCAATATATATATAAATACAGCGTACAGGAGGCAGACATCTTCATAAGGTTTTCATGATTATTCATCCCTATAGGCTTATTTTTCCAGGGCGTTGGTGCAGATAAGGACTGACATTTTCCGAAGTAGAAATGTGGGCAAGAAGAAGGAGGTGATTAGTTGTGCAGCCATTGCATGAAAATTTAGGATTATACCACTTATACCTTGAAAACACTTGAAAAATAAACACAAACTATAGAGCCTTTCTGATTATACATTTATTTACATGAAAATATCAATTCACATTGTGACTAAACAGGATTTTATTTTTTCCCATAGACGTCTTGTCATTGTTGTAAATGAAAAGTACCATATGATGTGATATTGGCAAAATCTTGGAATTCCGTATCACTTAGAGGTCCTGAAGTCAGTACGACCCTAGACCATAGTCCAATGTAAACTCTATATACACATATTTACAGATATGTACATTTAATGACACGTATGTCCAAATCCACTTTGAAGAAACCATCTGTTTAAGGCTTAAATTTCCCAGAAGTCTTAATCTTTTCAGTGATTATTTACGATACCAGGTCCAAAAGTCTGACAGTTGTTCAAGAGGCAGAATAACATAACATGCTTCTTATTTGGTAAAGCTGAAAGAGAAAATGTCATTGTATGAGTTGGGAATTCAACTATAATTGAACTATTATTAATTTCTGCAGTGATATCACTATATATATATATATATATATAAATTACTATACTGCTATTTAGGGCACAATGTATCATATTGGTCATTGCTACTAAATAATGGAAATGAGTTGCGAGTTTCAAAATGTTGAAGAAAAATAGCATAACGAGGAGAATTTGATACTTTTTTTGAGGTTGAGCTCTGTTAATATAAATTGAAACTAGGCTGTTAAGTCGCACCAATTCACAATTCAGGTATATAACCCCAGGGGTCTCTTGTGAGTATTACTGGTACATGTGGACTCCGATATTTACATTCAGGTAAAAAAAAACTGATTGTGCTAGGGGATAAGATTTCAATCCTGTTTTTAAGACTGCAGTTCTCCTGCTACTAGGCATAGAGGGTACTATTTAAAAGCCTTTCTTGTAAACAAAAAAAATAATTTATTTTGCCAAATCCATTGATGTTAGTTAATACCCATATATCCTCATACTCTGATCACTGATATAAGTCTCCTCTTGAAAATAAAACCACCCAAAATGCCTATAGACTCACAGAAAATAGATATAGCTAGCCAAGTCGCTGACTTCAGAATTATAGCCATTATAGATGTAGCAATAGTCATGTACATGATGCTTAGCGCGTGTATTGCATTTATTTACACTATGTTATACTAACATATATAAAGTATTATTCCAGCCAATCACATCTCTCTTTTGGTGTAACTTGAGAGTTCAAATGCCCAATGTTATTACAGTTAAAAAGTGTCCTTCATGTCGTGGAAATGGCCATCTTCAAGGAGGATACCAATACACCTGGTCTCAATATCTTTAGTATACTCCCTATTGTTATTATGTGAGAAGGGATCGGTGGGGAGGAGGGATGGGGGGACTGGCTGGGATGAGAGGTTGTTGAATGCATACAATTTGTGTGATTTACTTTTCACTTATTTTTCTTGATTTCTGTATTTCTAAGTTTTCTAAACTCTCTGGAATGTCGATTAACTTTTTCAGCAGACACTAACTTTAAGCAAGATGCAATAGTACATTTGGTGAATTTCCCCACATTCGTCTTCAAATGACCTTCAGTGAAAGCCAGAAGTGCAGTTTGTGGTCAAATACAGATGTTTTATTTTTTTAGAGAATTTTTGCAAATTAACAGCCAGTTTATAACCCCTGTGTACTGTATTGAACCATTGGAAATGTGCTAGAAAACTGTACAGATACTGAAGCTGCAGCTGTTTCTTTTTTGAGTGTGTATTTTGTAATAAAAACTTGGAAAAAAAAAAGCATTTTGTGGCAAAGACTTCTTGTGATTTTGTTATTATTGTGGGTTCAGGGCAGACAACTCCCTTCTTGAACAATTCAGACGTGTCAAGGGCCATTATAATATGCGGTTGTTTTAGATTTTTTTGTCATCTAAGGAGAAGCATCGCAAAGCTGTGTCTGAGATACACAATTTATATAGGAAAAGCCGGTTTAAAGAGACAAAGTTTAGATCGTATAGATCAAGTAAAGTATAGATGTCATTTGTTGAAAAGTGTGATTTTCTTCAACGCATTTTACTGTCTTTCACTTCTTTTCATATCTCTCTACAAGAAAATGGTTGAAACAGTTTTTTGATAGAAATAGTGATTTTACTTTAGTGAATAACTGTGAACACCGTTCTCTTCTACACTATGACAGATCAAAAAACAGTCTGTGTCATGTTTTTATAACTACTCCTATGGAGGATTTGAGTCAATGCATTTTGCGGCAATTTCCTAAAGGTGAAGGATGAGAAAACCCACTGTGACATCTGAACCAGGTGAACTCCTGAAATTTAGGGCTTATCTTCAATTGGTAATACACCTCTAGGATTATCATATAATGCAGAAAGCCCGAGATAAGATGTTTACTGCTCAACACAAACTGCAACATCTGTTTGATGCGGTTTTACAAGCGTTTATCGTTTGCATCTCAAAGCTCGTTACCACAAACAAGAGTTAACACAAACACACTTACTGCTTCGTGAAGAAATGACGGGATCTCACGTAGACACCTAGGGGATAGAATTAAAATGCACTTTTTAATATGTTGCTTTTTAAATAAAATACACAACTTGCGCTTTTTAAATACGTTTTATTTTAAACTGCGGATATTTGAATTCCACTGCTTGTTTGGGTATATTTTTGCCTTTGTGTAAACTACACATAACTACACATATTATATTTCAGATATGCATAAAGAAGCAAGAGATATAACTATAAGCTAAATAATAATATTATATATTTATATACAGTGTAAATAAACTAAATCCCAAATTGAAGTGAACTGATGTATGCCACGTGCATGATGTATGCCAAATTATATATGTGGGCAAATTATTGCCTAATTATTGCCTAAATTATCAAAATTAGTTTCAGTGAGTACAGTTATATTTATTGTGCTGTAATAGTGAATTGTTCTGAACTCGGAATTGCTAAATTCAAGCTAAAATAGCCGATTTATGACTATTACACACTTGGGGATTTTTTTTGGATCTAATTTCTTTTTTTTTTTTTTACCTAAATGTAGTTTTTATCTCACTACAATTCGCTGGTTTGTAAATAAACCCCAGTTTGTAGAATTCCTAATGTAAAAAAATAATAATCAATCAATCAATGTATTATTACGATGATTGACTTTTAAATAAAATAAAAAATACTTTTTCATAACGTGTTAAACAGCAGAAAAAGTGTAACGATTAATATCACTTTATTAACCCTTAGTGCTGGTCTCAACGTTTACTTACATCTCTCTACAAATGATGATTGTTTAATTGAATACGTTCTATGTGTCCTAGGTAACAAATGGTTTCAGCACTAGATACACATTAAAGGCTTCGATGTTGGAATGACCACATGTCACATGTATTAATAGTAAAAGAATGCAAATTGACTCTATGTAGGAAATGATATATAGTCTGAATGCTGTAGTATTCATTATGCGCACTGTACACCCAATGCACTCTTGTGATTAGCATACCTGATTTTAAACAGCATGGTGTTCACCGTACTTTAATTTTCAGAGTGATATTTTGCCACAATTTAGTAATGGGTTACTGAGATAATTTTGCAAATAAGGAAAGGGTTACCTAGCAGTTGCCATGTGCATATGATGGTCTCTGTATAAAAAAGTTGAGAATCCCAGCCCTGATGTGTGATTGCATTGAACTTATTTATATTAAGTTATACCATTTGTAAAAAGCTACTCAATTATACACAGAGTGTTAGTTTCTAAACTTTCAGTAAATAGCTGCGATAAACTGTTACTATTATTATTATTATGTTATTTATATAGCGCCATCAAATTCCGCAGCGCTTTACAATGGGTGGACGAACAGACATGTAGTTGTAACCAGACAAGTTGGACACACAGGAACAGAGCTTACATGCTAGAGGGAGTGGGGTAAAATGACACAAAAAGGTAAGGATAGTATTAGACTAGTGACAGTTGCAGAAGAGGAATCAGTCAGGAGCTATTAACAGTTTAATTGATACGCTTTTATGAAGAAGTGGGTTTTTAACGATTTTTTGAAGGAGTGGAGACTGGGTGAGCATCTAACGGAGGAGGGAAGCAAGTTCCACAGGAACGGTGCAGCCCTCGAGAAATCTTGAAGGCGAGCATCAGAGGTGGGAGTACGGACAGAAGATAGACGTAAGTCTTCAGCAGATCGTAAGGGCCTAGACGGGACATACTTGTGTATAAGGGAGGATAGATAGATGGGAGCAGCATTATGTAGTGATTTGAAAGCAAGAACCAGAATTTTAAATTGAGCTCTATATTTTATAGGAAGCCAATGTAGGGACTGACAGAAGGGTGAGGCATGGGAGGTGCGGGCGGACAGGAAGATGAGCCTCGCTGCCGCATTCATTATGGACTGTAAGTTGGGAGCACGTAAGACCACTGAGAAGTGGATTACAGTAGTCAAGACGAGAAAGGACAGTGGAATGGACCAACACCTTAGTTGCATCTGGCGTTAAGTTGGTGCGGATGCGCGCAAAGTTTTTGAGATGGAAATGACAGGATTTGGCGATAGATTGAACATGAGGCTTGAAGGAGAGGTCGGAGTCAAAGAGAACACCTAGGCAGCGAGCCTGCATGGTGGAGCTGATGGTAGCCCCGTTGACTTGGAGGGAGACAGACACAGGAGTAACAACACTTGAGGGAGGAAAGACCAGAATTTCAGTTTTGGTCAAGTTTAGTTTAAGGAAGTGGGCAGCCATCCAGCTGGAAAGAGGCAGAGAGGCAGTCAGATACACTAGTCAAGAGGGACGGGGAGAGATCAGGAGAGGACAGGTAGATTTGCGTGTCATTTGTCTAGAAATTATATTGGAAGCCAAAGGAGCTAATGAGTTTGCCAGAATGTGAAGTGGCTACTGATTACCAACTGGTTCCAACCTTGACCCAGATTAGCCATTTGATAATAGAGAACAAAAATAAATGCTGTATAGGTTGTCACTATATTAACAACAACTTGCCAGTAAAAAAGGCTCACCCTTAGCACAAATCTAACACTACATTATGATTGTCTACAGACAGTGTATTCAATGGATTAATTAAGCTGTGATTTTGTGTTATGCCCGATTTATATCTAGGTAACTTTTGAAGATCCTTTCTGCTATGTGAATTGTTCATTTAAACGACACATTCCATTAGTACTTAATAGAAAGAATAATTTTACGTTTTATATCATGTATGTGGCCATCTTTTTGTTTAATTGTAGTATGATCTGGTTTAATATGCTTGATATACACTTTAGATTTTTAATGTAAATAGTACATAGTATTTTTCTAGACTGTGCAAGTAAGGATTTAGCCATTGATAATGTCTTTTCTACAGGCCCAAGGTTGGTACTAACTTTTTATGGTTTAGATGGAGCGCACATGGTTGTAAACAGCTGTATAAGCCACTAAATAGCAGTTATGGGAACCATTAGTGAATAATAGGATCCTTTAGTCTCAACTTCGCCACTGGCTTTAAGTTGCATCAGCCGGCATGACTGGTGACATTTTGCAATCAGTAAACCGTCTCCACCTGCTAACAGTAGCGACAGGCATTTTGTTTAATAGCAGCTGACTGGTAGGAAGTAGCTACGACATTGGAAATGAGTCCAGAGTTGGCTAATGTTTGGCTGTATAAATAAATATTAAGGCAATACTTACGACGTGTATGTGAAATAACGAATCCCAGTAATATCATAAGAATAACTGCACCTCCTGCCAGTGGGCCCCAAATGAATGGGCTGCATTTAAAACCTAAAAAAAAAAACAGCACTTTGTTAGGAAAAACAGGTCGGACGTTTCTATATTAATTCTTTAAGGTGCAGACGGTGAATTTAAAGTGTAATTCTAATGTCTGCTACTTTGATAAATGCAAGATTAGAAGGGCCGTCGTGTGATTACGGTTTGTCATTAAATATGCACAATGGGGTCTGTTTACTAATATCTGACTTTTCACTGGATGTAAAATAAAAATGACAGACGGGACCAGCTCCATAAGGTTTTTAACCCCTTAAGGACCCATGACATGTGTGACATGTCATGATTCCCTTTTATTACAGAAGTTTGGTCCTTAAGGGGTTAAAGCCCTTACACTACCCACAAAGTGCCAAGCACAGGAAGCAAACACCATCTAAATTTAAACAAAGTTGCATAAAGCCATCTTACAGGGACACTATACTCAGCAAAATAACTTTAGCTTAAAGGGAAACAAATTGTTTTCCTGGTACTATAGGCTCCCTATAGCGCCCCCCTTCCCCCCAACCCCCCCATGACAAGGCATCTTCTCCCTTGTTTCAGGTGACACTGCATAGCATGAGGACATTCAGCATCAGTTAGGCGACCAAAGGTTGCCTAACGACCAGGAAGTCCCTCTGGTGGCTGACTGGTAGACAGCCACTAGAGGTGGACTTAACCCACAAAGGTAATCATTGCAGTTTCTTAAAAACTGCAATAATTACCTTTGCAGGTTTAAGGACCTGGGAAAATACAACCAGATGACTTTGATTAAGTGCCTACAGTGTTCCTTAATGAAGCAGTTTTTGTGTATAGTTCATGCCTCTGGAGTTTCACTGTTCAATTATCTGCCATTTAGGACTACAATCACTTTTTTGACTGTTTAAGCAGCCCGAGCCACACCTCCCCTGGCTGTGATTGAAACAGCCCTTTTCAAGAAACATACGCTAACCAGGGGCATACCTAGGGCATGTGGCACCCGGGGCGGGTCCTGGGTTTGGCATCCCCCTAACCCTCCCCCCCCCAACAAAAAACAAAAACCTACTAAATTATTATTTTTTTATTTTTTTACAAATTTATTGAACAAATGTGTACACATTTTAAAACCCCTGCCCCACTCTACAAAATCCCTGCACCCCCTCACACACAGTTACAGGCAGACAGTCACACACAGTTACAGGCAGACAGTCACACACAGTTACAAGCAGTCACACGCATACAGTCACATGCAGACAGTCACACATATAGTCACAGGCAGACAGTCATACACATAGTTACAGCCACAAACACACACAGTTACAGACAGTTACACACACAGTCAGTTACAGGCAGCCACGCACAAAGTTACATACAGACAGTCACAGGCAGACAGTAACACACAGTTATAGGCAGCATCACACAGTCACAGGCAGACTGTCACACACAGTCACAGACAGTCACACACACACAGTTACCGACAGACAGTCTCACACACACACACACACACAATTCCAGGCAGATAGTTACACACACACACACACACACACACACACACACACACACACAGTTTCAGGCAGTTACATACAGACATTCACTCTTATACTTACAGACAGTGTGGGCTGGAGGAGTGGATTCCCTGGCCTGAAGTCCTTCCCTGGCTGGAGGTGGAGGTGCAGGGATTTCTGCTTGCTGCATCTCCATGTGCAGCAGTTACAGCAGCTTGTAAGGGCTGTGTTAAGCCCGCCCCCACTTGCAGTTAGGCTCTGCCCCCTAAACGACCATAGCTCCGCCCCTTCTTCCTCCCGTGCGCCAGTTCATCTTGCTGGTCTCTCCATGTGAGCCGTGTGACACCCCAGCTGCCATGGGGCACAGCTCACACAGCCCCCTCCAGCCCCAAGACCAGGGTCAAGGCACCCCCATACCAGGTGGCACCCGGGGCGGACCGTCCCCTCCGCCCCTCCTTAGTCCACCACTGACGCTAACTTTAGACATTTTTATTTCCTGCTCTGGAAGTGTAAACATTACATCTCACTTTACAAGAAGTGTTTAGGAAGGCTGTGTAAGTCACTTGAACAAAATGATTTAAACTCCTAAATAAAAAATAATTGAGCAGTGACATTACAGGGGCATGATCTATACACCAAAACTGCTTCCTCATGCTAAGGTTGTTTTGATGTCCCTTAAAATCATATTTTATTTCCCTGTTGAAGCTGATTGTTAGTTCTTAACAGCCATCTTGAATATGTCAGGTGACACGTAGCAGCCAACCATTGATTGCTATACACTGAGTTTAGTTAATTTTTATTGTCACCTTATAACAAACACCACAACTCACATAATTTGTGGAGAACCTACATATCACAAGGACATTACTCATGTGGGGCAATCCCCCTTAATTACATTATTAGAAAAATATCCAATCCCTCTGCTATTAATTGGACCCACCTCCTTCTATTATTGCCCTGCCAGTGGATGCTCTTCACCCTTGGCATTAATTGTGCCAACCCCCTTCCATTTTTAGTATGCTAGAGCAATACTCAAGTCTTCTGATATAGGCACTTCCAATAAAAATGAATATCCAAAATACATAGACTAATTAAAGAGACACTCTACTTCCCAAATAAATAACTATAAAATCACTGTTTAGTACATGCATACCACGTTTATTTGGGGTTATATCTAAAAACAACTTGCAAAAGCGCAGATCTCTTATCTGCAGCATTAGAAAACCTTCCCCTTCTAGCCCCGCCCAGATTTTCTGTAACTGTCCAATCACAGACTTCCTATTCCTAAACTATTGCTGCCTCTTGAGTTTAGCTCCACTGAGTTAACCAAACCAAGCATTAACAGGACCTGTTGTCTGATTGACAGCTGAGATGGTGGGAGTGGTGGGTGTTTAACAAGGTTAATTTTTAAAATGCCAATTTCTATTAAATCCAAACCATATCCCCTACCGTTTCTCTTAGAACCCTGAAATGCCACACACCAATCATAAAAAGTCTATTCAGTATTGGACTGCAAGAGGGAGCATACCTTTTTCAGAGTATTTGGAATTGTGTTCCTTCCCTTTGCATTTGCAGGGTGGACTAGCTGTTGTTGGTTTCAGAGTTGGTGGTCTAGTGGGCAACTTGTCAACTGTATAAAAAAGAATAATAACATAAATATTAAACATATAAACTTGACAAATCCTCCCTGTACTTATAACAAGAGCTATGCTATACAGAAAGAGAGCAGACATTCCCACTGTTATGTTTGTTTGTAAACTGATTTGCACTTTTTTATTCAATATATAAATACATTACCATATGTTAGACAGAGATAAAGTAGAAATATAGTCACTGGAAAAATGTGGACATTTTAAAATCCTGCACTATGTATTTGGAATGGGTTCATACCATTCACATTTTCAGTGTCATTCATCTCGTAGAAGAAGCTACAATGTATATTATTTCATTTAATTGGTGGATGCCTAACAGGTGAAACCCGCATTCCTAATACATTAGTGGGGGCTACCTTTGGTTTGGATTTTCATACCTAAGTGAAGCTCATTTTCCAACATATTGTGGTTGTATACATTGAAAGGGGCACTATTATTACCAAAACATCTTTATCTTAACCCCTTAAGGACTGAGCCAAATGTACACGGTGTGATCAAAGCAAAATGTAAACAAAACCTGGCATTTGACTACATGTCTGTTTAGGTGTAATTCACCTCTTTCATATTATGTGCACCCACACTTATTATATATCATTTTATTCAGGGGAAACAGGGCTTTCATTTAACATCAAATATTTAGGTATGGAACATAATTTAATATGAATAAAATATAAATAAAATGGGAGAAAATAAGAATTTTGAAAAGTTTTTTAGTTCTACGTGACATTTTAACTGGTAATGTCAAAATACTGTTTGCTTTTACTGCAATATACACATATTTGTATTCAGCGATGTCTCATGTGTAAAACAGTACCCCCTATGTACAGGTTTTATGGTGTTTTAGGAAGTTACAGGGTCAAATATAGCGTGTTACATTTTTCAGTTTTTTCACATTAAAATTCGCCAGATTGGTTACGTTGCCTTTGAGACCGCATGGTAGCCCAGGAATGAGAATTACCCCCATGATGGCATACCATTTGCAATAGTAGAAAACCCAAGGTATTGCAAATGGAGTATGTCCAGTCTTTTTTAGTAGCCACTTGGTCACAAACACTGGCCAAAGTTTGTGTTAAAAGTTGTTTGTGTGTAAAAAATGCAAAAAACTAATTTGTATGCCAATTTTGGCCAGTGTTTGTGGCTAAGTGGTTACTAAACTGTTTTTATTTTTTTTTCAGGCAGCAAGGGGACTACCTGTCATTCCAGGCACTCCCCCAGCTGGCAGTGCTGTGGACGGCTATACCGTCCATGTGATTGCAAGGACCTCGCAATCACGTGGCCCAGGTGAGTCCCCCCACTGCGATCGCCGACTTGGGCGTTCAATGTCACTTGCCAGCATTTAGAGCCGGGTCCCGAAGGACGGCATAAAATGCCCACCGTCCTTAAGGGGTTAATGAAGGAGTTTTTGTGTATAGTTCATGCCTTTGAAGTTCCACTGCTCAATTCACTGCCATTTAGGAGTTAAATCACTTTTGTTTCTTTTTATGTAGCCCTGTGATACAGACAGCCTGCATGAAAACAAAAACATGGTTTAATTTGCAATCACATGTTTTATTTCATGCCCTGTAAGTTGAACTTGAATCACATACAGGAAGCTCCTGCAGTGTCTTGCAAGCTATTAACAGAATTGAATTAAACAGAATTTGCAATAAAGGTAGTGCAAACTTTAGTTGGCTCTTTACAGGAAGTGTTTAGGAAGTTTGTGTAAATCACATGCAGGGAGGTGTGACTAGGGCTGCATAAACAAAGTGATGTAACTCCTAAATAGCAGAGAACAGAGCAGTGAGACTGCAGGGGCATGATCTATACACCAAAACTACTTCATTAAGCTCAAGTTATTTTTGTGACTATAGTGTCCCTTTAAGCAATAGGTTAAACCTGGCCAAGAGTGACAGGAGTCCTAGTCCATATCACCTTAATCACAAATACCATACAATCCAAACGTATAGTGCGGGGTACTCTTCTGTACAATACGTGTCTTTTTGAATGACTTTTTTTTTGTTATGGTTTAATGACATTATAGTGATACAAATACAGTTTCATCATAGAGTTGTCCTACTTTTTGAACTGACTTAAAATCGAAGTTTCAAGACTAGAGTGAATCCCTTTTTGTGGATGACAAGTCTTTATCAAAATAAAAGAGAAGCAAGATTATATATGTATAATATCCCTCCTTTTTGCAAATTTTATTGTCAGCTTCTGAATTTGTTTCAGTTTTGCCATTTGTTTTAAGCACACTTACAGTGTCCCCCACAACCTTAAACAAAACCATCTGTGTTTGAAAAATTTGAATATTATTGGGTTTTATCTTGAGATACCATAAAACAAAATAGCTTTTTGTTTTCTAAATTCCATTTCAAAGAGTTTACAATGTCTTTTGATTATATCAATTTATACAACTTTAGCGACATCCACGCACATACAGATGTAATTATTCATAATTTAAAAAAAAATAATAATTTGAAAAATAGTGCTCAGAATGTGTGCACTATTTCTGCTAAAATGTTCCACCCAAAAGTAAATTTATTTTCTAAAAGCCCAATACTGAATATGTAAAATGATATACCACCTACAGACTGCCCTAAGAAATCAACCGTCACTTTAATTTGAACATGTCACTCTCTATGTCTTATGGACAGAATTGTGATAGGAAAGTTGGATAAAATAAATCTTTAAAGTCAGTGCTTACATGCAGGATAGGATATTTTCTATACTATCCCTAAATAAAATTGAAATTTACTTAAAGTGGGGCTATTTATGTTCCATTAGCTGTCTTTGAGGCGGTTATGATTCAAGCAAAGGACCTACGAAACTTTAAAAAAAAAAAAAAAGCAGGCAGTTTGCTACACAGGTTTCATGACATATGTTTGGACCTACCAGATGTCCTGAAAATGTGTGACAATAGAATCCTATTTTTTTAATACAGCCTGAAGATTGGATGTTATCAGTCTGTCAGTAAAGAAGTAAGCTATTTAGTTATCATACCAAGTAAATATTATTTGGAGATAGCAAACACACACATTAGCAACAACATTAATTTTAAAAGCCGTATACAAGTATTATTGCCGTTAGTCTTGCCAAAGGTGTTTGTGAACTATTGTAATATTTAGCAAAGCAAGATTTCAGGTTAACAGAGCCTTCGGGAAAATTACAATCAGCTGTATTGATTTAAACACCTTCATTCATCGATATTGAAGGAGAACTATAGATTCTCTTTTTAAGGTATGTCTGTGATATATCTTTAATTGTATATCTTTAATTGTATTCAGCATTATCAAGGGCAAATGCACCACATACAAAGGTACTATAGAACCTTTATAGATATGGAATATTTGTAATGGTGCAATATTGTACACAATACATCCGGCCAGACATAACTATACGTCTCTGTTGAGAATTTTTGCGTATTATCTTACCAACATATAACGTTGTTCCACTCCCAATGACCATCTTTGATGCCTCCTCTACCATGCAATAATAAACTCCAGTATCTGAGCGATGCACGTTTTTTATCTTCAGGATGAATGAACGATGAAAAGCATCCCTTGTAATGGAGAAACGATCTTTGCTTTCAAAATTGTCGTTGTAATTATTCCTTCCTGTCACTGATGCTCCCACAACGAACTCTGCATTTGGCATCATACTGCTCTCTCGATACCAGTAAATTTTCAACTGGTCGATGGAATAAGATTTCATGGCACACGTTATCTCAGTCTGTGAGTTCACCAGAGAATAAGAGGAATTTGGGGTTTGTGTTACAGAAGCAAAACAATGTATACCTGAAAGACAACATAAACATACACACAGTCATTTTAATTTAACAATAGCTGTCATGTACGGTATATTTCAAGATTATTTATCTATTGATCTCTGGAATATATCTCTGGAATATAATGCAGTGGGAGATATGACATACCCCTCTCACATCTTAAAGGGTACCTGTCATGAAAAATACAACTTAACTTTAAATGACAGAGAGCGAAATTTCATCTATAGGTTGTGTTAGTATAATTGTTATCAGATGTCGAGATTTCTTAAAATCTGAGGTTAACAAACATCCCTTCCCTCCTCATCTTAGTCAGCTCCGTCTGTGCTGAACCTGTGCAAATCAGCACTAAGATAAGACATGTTCTGCATTTTTGTTATTAAGGAACCCCACTCTGGGCATCTCTCCTGCTTGAATTCAACTGGAGGGAAAGCAATGCCTGCAAGGGGAAGGGGAACGAGGGGCAGGCTCTGTGTGAGAGCAGCATGGATGGAGGAGAGAAACAGCCAGAATGAAGCAGATTTGAACATGCAATATGAGAATGAAGAGAGACAGATGTTTTTTTTACACAAAGCCAACATAAGGTGTTGGGGTCTTCCCAGACCAGGGTATGCAGGAAAGGTCAGTCTTAAAGCAAGTGTAGCACCCACTGAAACATGATTGAGGCTCTCAGCAGAAGATAGAGGTAACGGAAATAAAATAGAAGCTTTTAATAGTATCAATGATAGACACGCTTTTATGTATAACATGAGTCAAGTCAGATAATAAGAAAACTGCAAACATAGAGCTGTCATGACAGGTCAGGTTCCCTTAAAACGCAGCTTTGGGTAACTTGTCCTCTATAAGTTCTTGGATAGGTCAGTGTGCATGCATAGTACTCATCTAGTGAAAAACTCTGAGAGTGTACATACGCAGATGTTTTACAGACAAATTCCTTCACAAACGTAGATGGGAATAAGTGAAACAATGCTAAGTTGTTACTTTCTTATCCCCAGGTATGATTTTCTAACGTGCAGCAAGACAATCAATATATATACTGTATATCAATATATTACATGTAACAAGATAATCAAGGGCAGATTACAGAGATATTGATAACTCTATTTATAGCAGTTTTATTAAGTTGTTCCCAAGACAACATCATTTTCTGGAAAATAATTACATTTATATAAAGGCTGCAACAATTTCTATTGTCACGTTATGTATAAATAGAATTTTAGAAGAATCATAAACCACAGCGTGGGCTTTTTCAAAAACAGACCCTCAGCCTTTCTTTTGGAGATGTGAGATTTGAAATCTTCTTTTCCGTGAGTTAATGTTTATGGTATATTGGTATGTAATGACCACATTTAAAGACGTGTAGGTGTTTGTGTATTTGGTATTATATATTATATGCAAGGTTAAATTTTTTGTTACGTCTTTGTAAAGAATAAAATTAAGTAAGATTTAGTAGATACCTTTAGAAGTGTATTACATTTTTTTTAAATCATTATTATTTTTTTATTTTTTTTATACCAATTTATATTAATTGATATACCTATTCATAATAAAGAAAATGTGTAAATTCTGACTGTCGTTCTGTGACTCCTGCCGAGTGAGGAAACAGCTTTTCCTCGTTTAATGCAGAAACAGGAAAAGTCTCTGACTGTGGCGCAACTGAAGGGATTGCTTTTTTTTAACCTTTTTAATTTGGCCCTAAATTTAACAAGCCATTTGTCAGCTCATCACAACTCACTATTTAATAAATTAACTATTATGATGCTATGTATAAATGCCGAACATAAAACGTCAGCATTTATAGATTACAGGAAAAAAGACAAAGTAAAATGGCATGGTCAGTCAAAATGCCCATTGATCCAAAGACATTGTGCATTGTAGTTGCTGAAATCACTATACTTTGGAACCGATACATGCATGGTTCTACTAAAACAAGGAGCTGATATACAGCTTGGGGTGAGTAGAAGTGAACGAACCATTCTAACTACATTATTTTCCTCTTTGAGTCTAAATTTAAATATTGTTTATTATGGGTTTAGATTTTGACTTCACCATTGATTTAACAATCACATTGAATAAAAAATATATGCTGGAAATGTGTGGGCAAATAAACTGCTGAAGGAACCTGGTAATGTTCGTGGAGGAAAGCTTCAGATGGTACGTGTTAATAGACTCAGTTTTGGCCAAATTGCAATTTGTCTGAATTCGTCCAATCAGCTTTTTAGCTGAATTCGTTATCTCAGAAGCGACATACGTATAACCGAGCAAACGACTGTCGCGATAGCCATCCATGATTATGTATTCAGAGGTCCGCCTGTGGTTCCAAAAAAGGGATTGGTGGAGATTGATGAGTAAAAAGAGGTATGATGGTTACGGGACAGCAACTTAATGTTGATTTTAGTCACAGATCAAGTGAGAAGTGACCAACAGAGAGAAAAAAAAGTAGGAGCAGTAAAAAATAAATAAATCTATATTTATATATTATATATTTAATAAATATAATTATTTATTTCACTGCTCCTACTCTTTTTCCCTTCTTTGGTTACTGTTGCTCATTTGATCTGGTAACCAAATGGCAGGAAAAGGGGCCTGCAAAATATATACATAATATTATTTACAAGACACTGTTTGGCCCGCTTTCATGCTCTTTTTGATTCATCTGAATCGTTTTCCCGATATATATTTCATAGATCATATTTGGATGAGCAGAACTGTCAACTGAGTCCCAAGTGTAGTCCCGAAGTACATTTCATTTTCAGGAAAAACAAAAAATTCAGCGGAACTGAAATTTTTTGCTGTGCACAAGTCTACCTGCTACTGTTCAGGGCAGGAACGGGCTTGCAGGAATGTACCAAAAGAACCTTCTGATTCTCTGATAAAAAAATATCAACCTAAGGTTCATGCCAATACAATATCTAAATATACCAGCTAATATATTGGACATTAAGGTACTTACTAATCTTAAAGCACTTAACCAGCTAAAGAAAGATGGGAGAGATGGCAATGGTGGAAAAGGGGAAAAGGCCCCAGGCAACGAACTTGGGAAGTTTGCCAAAGGGAAATGTGGCTCTGGACTTAAGGCATTCTTCTCAATATTAAATATTGAATCGAACGAAAAAGGTGCGTTGAAACTCTGTTAGCACAATAATGCAGGAGTGAGGCAATAGACAGGAATTGTGGACTGCAGTATCTAGATCAGGGGGAGGCAACCTTTGCACTGCAGATTCGTTTCCCATAATGCTCTACCCCTGATATAGCTGATCAGATGGCCCACTCGATGTGTATAAATGATGTCACACCTTGCAACAACAGCATCCTCCATCTGTTAAACCCATACATCATGTGCATCATATGAGTAGCACCATCTACACTGCTATCTGTGAGTTTTACAAGAAAAACAATCTTTCAGCCTTGTCCCCCAGGTCAAACATGGTCAGGCCTCCCCTGTAAAGAAACCTGATAATGTGCTAGAATTGAGCTTTGTAAAGGTACCGGTTCATGATGTAGATTTACTAACAGAATCTGTTAGTGTTCAGGATAGAAAACTGTTGACAGTATCTGCTCATACATGGTAGGAACCTTTGCAATGTATCTGCTAATGATAAGGGTAAGTACTGTATCTGCCGAAGCCAATGATCAAGGAAGATATTTGATTACGCTATCTTACAACACTCAGTAACATAATCTGATGACAGAGCATGCAGACGTTAACATGAATAGGACTATTAATATGTAATCCAAGATTTCAATATTTTACTCTCTTTCATCTCTGCTAAAGACAATTACAGAGTTATTCAATAAAGTGAGCATTGTCATCAATTCAAAGTGAATTCAAAGTGAATTTTCATACTTACGGCCAAAATAGCTCAAATTAAAAAATTCTCGAACGTAGATATGCTTCTAATTTCGCCACTTTTGCTTTAATTTTGAAATTCACTTTGAAAACTCCTATTAGCATCCATTGAATGGGGCACTTGTAAGCAGGGTGGTGGACTTAGCATTTTATGAGCCCAACACCAACTATTAAGTCAATAACTTAAGCAACATCCTTATTATCCTAGTAATATTGTATGCTCTCTCGGGAATTGTGCTTTCTGAATTGTTGCTATGCTGTTTGTTGTTGATAATATCTGATCATGTAACCTATCGACTTGACTCGAAGCATATTTTTCAATTTCCAAGCTGTGTCCCCTATTGTTAAAACACTATATGTATCACTAACGTTATTCAATAAAGTAAGAATTCAAAGTAGATTTCTAATTTAAGGCCAATGTAGGTAAAATGGAAGCACAGCTGAAGTAGAGGATTGTTTCCAATTCCGCTATGTAGACCTTAAATTCAAAGTTCTCTATGAATCCTAACTTTAGTGAAAAATTAAAAGTAAGTATTCATTTTGATGGAGAAATGTCTGTTAAAACACTGCTGGGTTTACTCACTTACTGGTGATGGTAGAGAATTGACAGGTAATTGTCCAGGAAAATGCTAATTTTACGTCCAACACAGTAAATACTCCTACGTGTTTATTTTGGCCCAAAAATATTTTTATAGAATTCTCTAAACTGCCTGTTTAGTGTATAACTGTACGCATGGAATTCTCATACTTGCACATAGTAGTGATGAGAAAAATTTAGTCAGGGCTATTTATTTAAGTGAGAATTGTCAGGAATACCCGATCTAGAAGCATATATGACTGGGAGAATTGTTTTGGGGGGCAAGAACATCGACTTTGTATACTCCATCAAAAAGGAGTTCCGTGCCAATATCAGATCTTCATCACAAGAAGTCTTTGACACGGTTGAGGTAAAGAAATGTTTCATTAGATAAGGCAGTAAGAATGTATTTTAAAAAAACAAAACATTTGCTATAGATTTTTACATATTTTCAATTATTGTTTTTAGATTAAAAGTTTTTTTTATTCTTATAATTCTTATAATGTACCCTTGCATTACCTTACATTTTAAATATATTTTTTAAACCAATGCATTGCATTTATACACCAGATTTCTTTAAAAAATTTTGTGTTGGCTAAAGAATGTTTATGAATTTAGGGATGGCATTCAAATTATTTTTACTTTTAATTCATTTCCCAGCCATTTTTACACTCCCAAGGAATTATAAACGCATTTCCAAAGGTAAAAAAAAATAACAAGCAAAACAATAAAACAATACAAAATGGACAATAAATACAAACAAATCAGAAAAAGTACATGGAAACTGTTCAACTCAAGGATGTCCAAATGGTAGATCATCAGATATTGTAAAACTTCAGCTATGAAGATTCTTGACATTTTAAAGACTGAAAAATTCACTTTTTCATTTTTTTTCCTGTATTTTTTGAAGAAGATAAAATAATTAAAGAAAAAGTATTTTATGAATAGGTAACTGGAATGGATATAAAAGCAAATAGGTAACTCTAAGTAGGAACATTGTCTTTGTCACTTTACGGCTGTTGTACAGAAGATTATATGTCCATATACATGGACATCTTTAGACATCACTGCCTCATGGTCATTAAAAAGTTTTAGGGAATCTCTTTTTCTAGTCAATTCATTTTGATCAGCATGTAACTTTCTTTTGATTGTTAATTTGATATTGGGAATTTTAGGTTTTTTTTCCATGTCCATTGTTTATTTTTTGGGTTTAGCTGACTATAGAAAAACAGCTGCTGTAAGCAATTATTAATATTTATCTAATCGACATTTGTTTCCAGAGAAACCTTACACAAGGCTAGACTTCGATTCTTCTGAAAATTAGACTGGATATACTGCTCTTCCCGTAATTGGATGCATATATATTTTTTTGCTGCAATGGGTTATTTTTAATATAATGCACAAAAATACTCATGAACAATATTTAAGAAAAAAAAAAAAAATAGCGCTGTCTCTGTGAATCTAAGCACAGGATATCACTAGAAAGCTTCAAACTTGCAAACGTTCTAGAAATGGGCCAAAATGCAAATCTAGACCTCATAGGAATGTTATGGCCATTTAAGTTAACAGTTTGCTCCACCTGCTATCTATAATAAGTAGCAGATAAGATTTATTTTACTATGAAGGTGAAGGTTTTTGCCCCGTCAGATGGAAGGATGGATGAAAATGGTGTATAATGGGAGCATTAGTAGAGGGCTTGAAGAGATGGATTAATTAGTTCCAATAAATATTTTTTTACCCAGTCCAAGATTTTCTGGAAGGAGAAGGAATGGTATTTTGAAAGAGCTGAAGCATTAAATATATTTTTCTCTTGTGTTAGCGCTTGAGTAACTATTTGTTGAAAGAACAGGTGTGCTTTACCAAGATCGAGGTTAGAAGGCCCTATATATTGCACTTTGTAAGAGCACTCGCAGATTTTAATATTAGATAGAGAAAGAATACTTGTGTTGATCAGATTCCGAGAATACCAGGGTTCGTTTACAAAGTGCATCTGTGGAGCACAATTGTAGAGATTTACCATGGAAACCAATGGACTTTTGCCACTGACTGCTCAAGTTTACAACTTTGACCAAGGTTTGCCCTTGTTCTTATTGCAATTGTCTAGAATCCTAGGTAGATGAACTTTCTTTTTTTTACTTTATTAAACTGCAAACAGCGTTCCCTCGCCACACCTTGGTAACCCACCATGCTTCCTCTTCTGTTACTGTATTATCAAAAATTAAAATTAAAAAATGTATAAACTCTTCTAGCAACCTACTTTTCCCATACATGAAATACATGTTATCCTTATATTTTGTGTCACTTTACCCCATTCACTCTAACGTGCAAGCAAATTTAAGCAGGCCCCTCTGTTTCTGTGTGTCCAACCGCATTGTTGCAAATAAATGTCTGTTAGTGCACCTATTGTACAGCGGAATTTGTTGGCGCTTTATAAATGATAATAATTGACTTTAGTGGTTAGTGTTAACCTGTGCTAGTGCTAGCATTGAGCTAGAATAAAAAACTGTAATTTAATGTATTTAGCCTAAAATTAGTTTTGTTATGTTAAATATATATCAGTATATTTACCTGTATTAAAATACTGCATTCATATCCATATATAAAATTCTGTACCACCTTCTATTCTATTAAATCTCTTTTTTTTTTTCTAAAGATCCATTTTCTTTAGTAATTTTTCGTGATGAGATTTCATAAGGAAATCTTTTTGAACCTTGCGCGGTCTCAGATCAAACTGATAGTGAGCGAGTAAAAAAGAATTTGCAGAACAAAAGTAAGAATACCCATCACTTTATCATACATTTAAACAATATTGTTAAATATTAACAGTTTTCTACGATGATTCCATCCATTCTAGAATTTCTGACCTGCCCGAGAAGATTTTTGATCAATTTTCTTTCTTTCATTTTTGAATCAACACCGGGCTAATGTGGGCAGGAGTTTTACTCCACCAGAAAATAGATTGGACGTGGGAACGCTTCAATCCAAAATAGGTCTACATTTTGGATTAAAATATTGCTGCTAAGAAGACTACCCACATTTTATTGGTGTGCAGAAGAAAATGATAAAAGAAAAAAAGGGCGTATCTAATCCATGTCATCAACACATTCTGATATTGGTAAATATAAAAGAAAAATATAAAACATTTTAACTAAGTAAAACAAATAAAAATAATGATATATATATATGTCTGTCTTCCTTCATTGGTATTGTGTGGAAGTCTCAGAGTGGTACAGATTATTAATTGTTTTACAAGCGATTACAGATGTTTTTAATTTTAAGTATTTTTAAGTAAATTCCAAATAATTTAAAAGGCCTGTTTCTACAAAATACGTATGTAAACAGACACCAAAATATTCTCTTTATCTTGTTGTGACTGTACATGGGATTCCTCCTACCCACTGCTTCCATTACTCACACATCTCACTCCTGAACGAAGACCCCCATATGTCGATCACTTTGTTTTGTGTTGATTAATAAAAAGACTCTCTTAGTGTGTTTCCTGGAATCCCCTATTAAAAAAAAAGCAAATTGCAATGTTCCAACAAACTATGTACTAACAGCTGGCAAGCCTAACAGGGTTATTCACAAAAGTGAGATTTCAAGGTGAACTCAAGGTGAATTTGACATTTAAGGTCAAAATTGCCAAACTAGAAAAATTCTCTGAGCCAGCAATGCTTTCAGGTTGGCTACTCTGACCTTAAATATGATATTCACTTCGAATTCTAACTTTACTAAATAGCTGTGGAAGTGTTTAGCTGGAGAATGGAATATTAATGAAAATTAAGAACTAAGAACTAATTTGATTATTCAGTGTAATCCTTATCACATTGTTAAGGGTTTATGTTGGTGTTAGTTTCCTGTACATTCTCTGTATTATAGTGATAATACTGTGTAATACAGTGTAGTGTAGGGGAAGACTGCCTACCAATATTGGGTATTGCTTTGCAGGTCTTATAATAACTCATAATAACTCATAAATTAATTTACAGGAATACCTTAAGTATATGTCCAAAACCCTATTTTAAAAGTTGTACATTGTGTATGTCTGGTTTTAATCCCTTATAAATATTCCATCATGATTCCCTTTTATTCTAGAAGTTGTGTCCTTAAGGGGTTAAACAATATTCATATAACTGTGGAAAAATACTCAATATGCAAGTCTAGATAACAATATTAATTAAACAACCTAGTGCCACCTGAAACCGGCGGTTAAAACAGATGTGCTTTCGGACCTTGTCGAAAAATGTCTCAGCTATGCTCCTTTTTGTATCTTCTTTTTATAATAATAATGGTATTTGTAAAGCACAAAGAAATATATGTATTGTATATACATAAAGTATTTAAAAAGCATGCAAATAATCTATCTACCTGCCAAATAATTACATTTCTTTAGGAAGGCCAAGTGTTCGGTTTTCCTGCTATCTTGCATATTTAATCTATCAAACTCATCTAGATTGTAAGCTCTTAAGATCAATGTTTGCTATTTTCATACGAATGAGTGATACTGAAGAGTACATTAGGGCCTCTATATAGGTATTTTATTAAAGACTACTTAGCGCCCCATTATTTGTAGATAGTAAACAATCTTTACGGACACCTTCACTCTGAGGTCTCAAATATCTAAATTTATTTTTAAAAAATCAATTTTTGTTATCTGTATCCAGAATATATCCTATTTTATTTCACCTTTTACTTGATAGCTTTGTTTTGGTGGGCTTTGAGGATCAGTGAGAATCTTTTAGAACTTCCCGATAATACAAGCGCGATTTAGCGCTCCACAACAAACGTATATTATTAATGCTGAATAAAGATGTCAATCGCTAGCAAGTAATATTGATTGTCATAAGTAATGTACATGTAGTGTTACAAATCTGTGTAACCTTATTAATGCTTCCTTATTGAATATGTGCATTTTGTCTAATTCCATCTTGTCGTTCTTTACTTATGTCATGTTTTTGTACAAATGCACAAAATGTACCTTTTCCGTGCCTCTACTGGGTCAGTTTCTGCCAAATCTGCTCCAAGAGTTTGAAACAAAACACAATCAAAACCACAAGGCTAATATTAAAATATAGTGACTTCCAACATATATGAGTTGCTTTGTAAATAACATGAACTTCCTGATCAATGATTGTATCTTGTTATGGAATTAAATTTTTGTATTTCCCTTGAAAACATTAATGGAGGGAATGTTGAAGAACCACTAAGCTGCCATATTGTTAAAACAGCAGGGGGCCTGTGGACCCAAAACAAACATGAAGACCCAACTGTCCCTTTACTAAGCCCTCTTACTGGTGTTTTCAAAATATTAAAACAGCTTTATTTATTAGTTTATGGCTTCCTTAACCAGTGCCATTTTATTTCCTCGGGTTGGCCCGCTGATTTCTGTGGCAGATTAAAAAGTTCGGCCTGCTGATTTCTGTGGCAGATTAAAAACAAATTGATATACCTAAAATCAACTTCCTCTTGCTTCCCATGAACTCCATTCACTAAAAATGGTTCCCGTCTTATCCATACACTGTATGATATTTAAAATTCATCACAAACAGTGACATGCCATCCGTTCAGCATTTTACAACAAAACTCGGAGGTGAAAAAATCCTAAAATGGATTAAACAGCTATAGACCTGAAAATATTGCCCCAGGTTTTTGAATGTTTTTTAATCTCAAAAGAAAATGAATCGTGTGAGATGTCGCCATCTGTGATAATTTTGTATTTAATGGTGAATACAAAATTGAAGTTTATCTCTCATGTTAAGATTAGTGTAGGATCCACCGATGTTGGGGGTAGACTTATTGAAGCAGCAGTAGATATGGCCATATCTTGTGACTAAATGCCTATATTATTTGCCAATACAGGGAGTGCAGAATTATTAGGCAAATGAGTATTTTGACCACATCATCCTCTTTATGCATGTTGTCTTACTCCAAGCTGTATAGGCTCGAAAGCCTACTACCAATTAAGCATATTAGGTGATGTGCATCTCTGTAATGAGAAGGGGTGTGGTCTAATGACATCAACACCCTATATCAGGTATGCATAATTATTAGGCAACTTCCTTTCCTTTGGCAAAATGGGTCAAAAGAAGGACTTGACAGGCTCAGAAAAGTCAAAAATAGTGAGATATCTTGCAGAGGGATGCAGCACTCTTAAAATTGCAAAGCTTCTGAAGCGTGATCATCGAACAATCAAGCGTTTCATTCAAAATAGTCAACAGGGTCGCAAGAAGCGTGTGGAAAAACCAAGGCTCAAAATAACTGCCCATGAACTGAGAAAAGTCAAGCGTGCAGCTGCCACGATGCCACTTGCCACCAGTTTGGCCTTATTTCAGAGCTGCAACATCACTGGAGTGCCCAAAAGCACAAGGTGTGCAATACTCAGAGACATGGCCAAGGTAAGAAAGGCTGAAAGACGACCACCACTGAACAAGACACACAAGCTGAAACGTCAAGACTGGGCCAAGAAATATCTCAAGACTGATTTTTCTAAGGTTTTATGGACTGATGAAATGAGAGTGAGTCTTGATGGGCCAGATGGATGGGCCCGTGGCTGGATTGGTAAAGGGCAGAGAGCTCCAGTCCGACTCAGACGCCAGCAAGGTGGAGGTGGAGTACTGGTTTAGGCTGGTATCATCAAAGATGAGCTTGTGGGGCCTTTTCGGGTTGAGGATGGAGTCAAGCTCAACTCCCAGTCCTACTGCCAGTTCCTGGAAGACACCTTCTTCAAGCAGTGGTACAGGAAGAAGTCTGCATCCTTCAAGAAAAACATGATTTTCATGCAGGACAATGCTCCATCACACGCGTCCAAGTACTCCACAGCGTGGCTGGCAAGAAAGGGTATAAAAGAAGAAAATCTAATGACATGGCCTCCTTGTTCATCTGATCTGAACCCCATTGAGAACCTGTGGTCCATCATCAAATGTGAGATTTACAAGGAGGGAAAACAGTACACCTCTCTGAACAGTGTCTGGGAGGCTGTGGTTGCTGCTGCACGCAATGTTGATGGTGAACAGATCAAAACACTGACAGAATCCATGGATGGCAGGCTTTTGAGTGTCCTTGCAAAGAAAGGTGGCTATATTGGTCACTGATTTGTTTTTGTTTTGTTTTTGAATGTCAGAAATGTATATTTGTGAATGTTGAGATGTTATATTGGTTTCACTGGTAATAATAAATAATTGAAATGGGTATATATTTGTTTTTTGTTAAGTTGCCTAATAATTATGCACAGTAATAGTCACCTGCACACACAGATATCCTCCTAACATAGCTAAAACTAAAAACAAACTAAAAACTACTTCCGAAAATATTCAGCTTTGATATTAATGAGTTTTTTGGGTTCATTGAGAACATGGTTGTTGTTCAATAATAAAATTAATCCTCAAAAATACAACTTGCCTAATAATTCTGCACTCCCTGTATTTGTGATTTTAAAAATCCTCATAAAATTTTAAACTGTATGTTTGTGTTTGCACTGTTCCCTTAATCTGTTTTTTTACCAAATGGATGAAGTCACCAGAAATTTAATAAAAATGACCAGTTTTCTAGAGTTGATTATATGCATTGTGACGCTTAATTAAACAGTTAATCGTGGGGAGTTTATAATCTAGTACCAAAATTTAGGCTAAATTAATTTACTTAAAAAATTTTAAAACTGTCGATGTTGTCAACAGACCATAACTCCCACACCTACAAAAGTATTTCTAAATACACAATCCAGTATTGAGCAACTGATAGGATTATTTGTTAATCCTTATAATCGTCCATTTTTTCTATATGGAGAGTATAAAACGACATATATGAACGATATAATCACACCTGCATGTAACAGACATTTCATAAACAATGTCACATTCTGTTTAATGAACGAGGAATCGTTTTAAATGTCTGAACTGATCTGCCCTTAAATCACACCTGGGGGATCTCAATGACTAGGCCCAGATGCTAACAGTCACAATATTCAGGTCACTTGAATAAGAAAATCCCATTTTAAGCCCCCGAATCCTTTCATCTAGTTTTTACTAAAATTGTTTGCCATGTAGGTATTTTCTTCATGTTTTGTTCCCTTTTGCACACAGATATTCATATTGTTCTGGTACTGAAATAGTTAACCTTGTAACAGTACAGATTCTACTCATTAAATGTGGTTTATATTTTTAAATATTGATATAGAAGTTAATGATTTACTATAGTTCCTAACTGCAAATATAAACATTTATTAAAAGTAGGTTACTATCATTTTCGCTTTAGTTTCTACAATCGTAACATATTTTTGAACCATTTTTATTTATGTAAAACCTGCTAGTAAGTTATTGCAAAATAGAATGATCTATTAATTTTTTTATGCATCCTTATTTAATAAATAATACGACACATTGCAGAAAAAAGTAATGACGTCCTTATAGTTTAAACTGGTATTCATAACAAATTCATATTGAGATATTCTACAGACTATGGGTGTCTTACCCCAAAAATATTTACAATATATATCGCGACATGTTTTACACAAACAAGTCGGACGCGCACAGTGATACGATTGTAATATGAGTAACATTACAAGGGGTTTACCTGTGACGCATACAATATAATAACAGACAATTATATAAAGCAAAAACGTATTGATCATTTCAGCGAAAGAAAAAAAAACAGTTTGACAGAAAGAAAATACAAACAGACAAGATATATAATAGATTATGAGATTCTCACAAGGCTTGCAATCCAAGGATGATCACTAGGCCCAAATGGACAGGTTTTCTTGTAACCAGTTACGGTTGATCTCACTATATACTTGCATCAAACCATAGGAACATATATTTTATAAATATATCTTAACTTCCGATAACATAAAGGATAGTCCTTCAGGAGTATCATTGGGCTTATATGAGATGCACCATGTGACGCTTTGTTCCAGAATACATTAAAGCGCTATAAGTATTAGTTATAAACATCTACTGAAATATATATATATATATATATAAATACAGTGGTACTGTCAGTATTTTAAAAGCAATATGAATTAAAATTGCAAGCCCCAAGGAAACTTTTATCACAACCATCCCAGATGCCCACCGTATAGTATATATAGTGTGTCGTCTGGTTTTACATCTATAAAATGTATTTGTACCCCTCTCCCCTACTTACCTGAAATATAGAGAGAGATAAGGATGAAATGGAAGAACCACAGTAACTTCTTTTTAGGAAACGTCATCTTTGCTAAAAACTGAGAGGGAGGGAGTTGCACCTCACTCTGTGTAGTATCTCCTCCTACTGGTTGCTGTCACTTAACATTGATATCACACAGTGGTCTCCAAAACAGAAATGAACTGAATGTTCTGTAACCAGCTTCATAAACATCGCCTTCCTACTGACATTAACCAATCAGAGGACAGACAACCTGCTCTATAGGATAAACACTAATGATGTGAATACAAGGTAGCAAACTGATATACCATCTTATTAATGTGCTACTTTTAATATATATTTTTTCATTTTTTTTTTTTTTAGACAAATATATGAGGTTTGTTATAAATGTATTTAGGAATGTATTCAACACCAGCACACCTTTAAACATTTCTTACATAAAATATTAAATAACATTCTAAACACACAAACGGTGTCCCTTTAAGCTGCCCAATTCTGCATTAGATAGGAGACTATGAGCGATGTACACGACACTCAAATCTATATATTTTTTTGCTCTCTGCAAGCTCCAACTCCCTCTAACAATAATTATGTACAGTATTTACTTATTATATACAAAGACTTATTTTTTTTCTTATCATACCGTTAGATTAGTGCATTTAAAAAAAAAAAAGGTTTAACTAACAACAGGCATGCTTTCTTAGAAATACACTTCACGTCCACAGGTTGCTCCTCTTTTAAAACATTTCCTTACAATTACTCTTTATTCAGAACACAATGGGGGAGATTTATTAAAGTGTCGCAGACTGTATATTGCCTTTTTGGCATATTTTTTATTTAGTTTTTGTGCAATTTATTAAATCTGTCCTTTTTTTCTTCAGTTGATTATTTGCGCCCAAACCATAATTTTGGAGGCTACTTCATGTTTTTAAGCAACGTAACAGAATTATCTAAAAGAAAAGTGTACTGTTTCACTATTTTTCTGTAACTCTAAATTTGGCAATCGTTTGTGAAACAGATATTTGAACAAAAAGGGTGGATTTATGCAGGCAAAAGCGAGCACTTGTTAGACCAGATTTAGTAAAATGAAATAAAATCTGAGTAGATTACAGACCAAAAAAAAAATACACCTAGAAGACCACCGATACAATATCCTCAATATTTCGAATATACTCCAAGCCTCTGAGTTTACTCTATATATTTCTGTTGTGTTTTTTTGTATCTTTTTTTATTCGTTTATATGAAGACATAAAATCAGTAGTTGTAACAGCTTATCGAGGATGTTACCACATTGAAGAAAACAAAAAGATTGGCTGATTTATTTGCTAATAAGGGAAATATGAAGTATTGACAAAGTAATAGAAGAAATAGCAGTAAATATCCAAACTGGAAAAATTTAGTTATAACAGCGAATTTGGAAAAAAATTCTGCAACTCAGCTACAAATACAAATATGAGTATTTTAGTCTAATTTTTCAACTCTCAGATAACTACAAATTATGGAGTTATTTAATAAAATGAGAATTATTGGGCATTCAAAGGGAATTTAACCCCTTAAGGACACATGACGGAAATATTCCTTCATGATTCCCTTTTATTTCTGAAATTGTGCTCTTAAGGGGTTAAACTTCAAGGCCAAGTATCTGAACTGAAAAAAAATCTACATCCACACATTCAGCTCATTTTGAAGTTCTCTTCGAATTTTCAACAATTCTCACCTTAGTGGATAATCATTTATATCTTTAGAGAACAAACTCCCTATCACTCGTTGGAAAAATTAGTGAGAAAATACATAAAATCTTTTAGATTCCAAACTTATATCACCAATTTGTCCTATAACATTATTTTTAAAATGTTGCATTGTTTGCGACCTTTAATAAGACACAGAAAGGATTATTCACCAAAGTGAAAATTCAAAGTGAATTCCATCTGAATTTTAAATTTATTGTCAAAATAGCTCAAATGGAAATATTTTCTGCTAGGCTATGCTTTTATTTTGGGCTACTCTGGCCTTATATTTGAAATTCACTTTAAATTCTCACTGTAGCAAATAAACCTGATAATCAATCAATATCAAGTTTTCCGTATAAGGATGCTTGCTGCACCATTATTGTAGCGATATAATAAATGAAAACACCATAGGGGTACTGTATATAGAAAGATTCTGGGGCAGATTTCTAATAATGGGACGATGAGGATGAATATTCTGTTTCTATAGCAACTGCTCCACTTTCCCCTTGATATGTAACACCCCCTGTTTTAAAATAAAATACTGACAAATGAATAGGAAATGTGCTAAATATAGTTAATTCTTCCTGAAACTAATGGAAGCTAACATTTCCCCCAATTTATCCTTTATATATAATAATGTATAATAACTAAACTAATCTTTGGTGAAAACAATGAAATCTAGAGTTATTCGCTAAAGAAAGAATCGTTGGCAATTCAAAGTGAATTTCTAATTTAAGGCCAACACAGCAGATATGGAAGGATAGCTGACGTGGAGAATTGTTCTAGTTCAGCTAATTTGGCCTTACATTTGAAATTCAATAAAATAAAGGTAAAAATGTAACAAACGTATATTTCAGATTAACAGTTTATTGTAAATTGTTCACATACACAGAGCAACGTGTTTGGGAAATCCTCTGCCTCTTCCAAAAAAAAAACAATTATAACCTTTTTATAAATCACGGATAACCCTAACATACCAGGTCACATTCAATTTGTAGTAATCAAAGGTTACATTCAAAATATAGTTTTGAAAAATATTTAGTATTATACAAAGCAGCTTGAGATGGGATGATATACCGTGTGTAGAATTAAGACGGTATGTAGAAGTTAAATAGTATACGTGGAACTGCACTCACTCCCACAAATCTGAGCCAGGGTGCTTTCTTAACAAAGACCTTTTGGGGTCGAAACGTTACTGTTGTGGTTCTCAATAAAGTGCCTGTCTTGAACCAAGGAGTGCCTGGACCCCTATTATTTTACTATGGTGTGTAGAAGTTAAACTGTGTTCCTCCTTATAAGCGTCGCATTTCAGATCTTAACCACTTGTTTATTTATTTATGTAATCAGCTTGTTTAACCACTTCAGGACCAAAGACAGAATAATTCCATCATAACAACATATTATGCATTAAAAGGTAGTGCATCACTCAATTAGAACCAAACCAGCTGTAAAGCACATCTGATATATCCATTTGTCTGGTTACAATTGCGTGTCTGTTAGTCCACCCATTGTACAGCGCTACGGAATTTGCTGGCGCTATATAAATAATAATAATAATAATAATAATATTATATACCCAGGATATTCCAATATGGCCTAGCAACAGGATGGATACATTTGTGAAGATGGTATTGTATAACCAGTCCTTATGAGCTTTACTGCTAACTTTATTTAAAAGGGTTCCCTGCAGTGGTTATGGTGACATAATGTTTTGACTCTTAACTGGGTTCCCTCTTCACTTTCTGAATTACATCAGTGGAAATTCCCCTTCCACACAGTATGTATAAATATTTTCACAAAATTTAATGGCTTAGAGTGTCAGCTTAATCTCTCAGCCAACGAATAATACCCAAACACACGTAGCGTTGATGTCACTAATGTGGAATTTTTATTTTTCATTTATTACTTCCTGCTTTTTTAGTAATGCTTGGAATGTACATTATTAGAAAATGGTTTGAATCCCTTATCTTATATACTGCTGGAAGATGTGGTAAATGACAGAAGGGCTCATTTACAATGTATTTACAGATAAAGGTAGGCAGTACACTTAATATTTATTTTGGTTTTTGCAAAGAATTAATTTGTTGGAATAGATATCAACAAAATCCCACCAAACATTATAATTGCATGTGGACACAATGTACATACAGAACAGTTGCCTGGATAAATTACATTGTAATCAAAAAAGACCGTCTCTGTGAGATATCTCCGGAATGAAGAATATTTTTAAGGATTTCTTAACTAGGACTACAGACTAAGGAACCATAAAACTGGATAATAGATGCACTCCTTAGACATAGGAGCCATATAAAGTAAGAGTAAAAGGTCCAAGTGTAAACACACAACAAACAGTGAGGTTTATTCGTTTTTTTGAATTGTAGGAAATTGATATCTGAATTCAGGTTTATCTTGCCAAGATGTGACAATAATGTAGTTTGAGAATTTTCCAAATTTAGTGAACTATCTTAGCCTACATTTTGCCATTCACATTTTAATTTACGATTTGTGTTGTTGGGTGTTATTGGGCTGTGAGCAGTACATATATTCTGCGTAAATTAAATCCTTAAACATTAGTGCCGATTTTATGAAATATATTTGTGTCTTTATGATTTATATGCTTCTATATATGGTATTTATTTTCATATTTATTTCGCTTTATTGGGGAGTACAGAGCAATTATAAGCCGTTTTGTATATACTTTGTCTTTCTAGGGTTTTGTGTGGCCCTCTCCAGAATCCTGAGTACTTATTTCTCCTTAAATTTGTCTATTACAGTGCCTGTAGGACTTGAAATTCGCCAGAAATTCCCCTTCGTCAAGTGAGAAAGTCCATGTACTGTTGCCAAGGTAATGCAGTGGTCAAATGACACGTAATGATGTCATCACGCACCACGATTAGTGCAATCGGTGCAATCTGAAGGATCTGATTATTGAATTTCGAAGTCCTTTACTAAAAATCACAGCACTGAGATGCATTACAAACACCTGCACTTGTTCTATTTTTCTGTTTTTTATTACTATGCCGCTGTTGGAGTCACAGTGGGCTATAAACTAAACCTCACATGAGTTAATATTGTGCTTGAAGTTCTGTTTCCTTGTTTGCTTTAAGGTACCAATGTTTCATACTGTGGTATCCTTATCCTCATGTTTTTCTGTTTTGTGTCCTCTCTCTCTCTGTCTCTCTCTATATATATACGTACCAGACCAAACACAGTGAAACTCGCCATAGGGCATCGCCTGAATATCTCAGGCAACTTTGGACTTTGAAGGGTCCTTCTTGGATATAGAAACTCGAGAAATAATGTTTCTACAACTATCCCAGAGTTTTTTTCCAGTATCATATATTTATAACTAAGTCATACAAGCCAAGTTCAATACAATGATCTTCAAAGAAGCGAATTAAATATTAATTCTATTATAATATGGTAGTAACATTGTG